GACCACCCCCCAGCACGACCACACCCCAGCACGACCACTCCCCAGCACGACCACACCCCAGCACGACCACACCCCAGCACGACCACACCCCAGCACGACCCGATCGATAAATCACAGGGTGCGGAGCACCCCAGCACGAACCCTCCCCAGCACGACCCCACCCCAGCACGACCCCACCCCAGCACGACCACGCCCCAGCATGACCACACCCCAGCACGACCACACCCCAGCACGACCACTCCCCAGCACGACCCCACCCCAGCACGACCCCACCCTAGCACGACCACACCCCAGCACGACCACACCCCAGCACGACCCCACCCCAGCACGATCACACCCCAGCACGACCCCACCCCAGCAAGACCACACCCCAGCACGACCACTCCCCAGCACGACCTTACCACAGCACGACCACACCCCAGCACGACCACGCCCCAGCACGACCACGCCCCAGCACGACCACGCCCCAGCACGACCACGCCCCAGCACGACCACGCCCCAGCACAACCACCCCCAGCACGACCACCCCCCCAGCACGACCACCCCCCAGCACGACCACCCCCCAGCACGACCACACCCCAGCACGACCACTCCCCAGCACGACCACACCGCCTTGGTTGAGTGGTTGCCTGTCGTCGTGGAATGTTTCGTGGGGTGTCTCGTGGAATGTTTCGCGGGGTGTCTCGTGAATGTTTCGTGAGGTGTCTCGTGGAATGTTTCGTGAGGTGTCTCGTGGGCTGTTTCGTGAGGTGTCTCGTGGGATGTTTCGTGAGGTGTTGCCCAGTTGGGTATCATGAAAACGTGTCCATGCTCCACATGTCTATATCCCTTTCCGGGTTCGTGGGTCCATCATGTTGTATAATCTAGAATCTAGAATATCCTCCTCCTCCTCCTCCTCCTTCTCCTCCTCTTCATCCTCCTCCTCCTCCTCCCCCTCCTCCCCCCTCTCCTCCTCCTCCTCCTCCTCCTCGTCCTCCCCCTCCTCTCCTCCTCCTCCTCCTGGTCCTCCCCCTCTTTTTCCCGGAAAGGGCATGAGCCCAGGGTTCTCTTTTAGTGGGTAAACCTGTCCCCCGGTGCCAACTTGAAGGAGGCCGGCGAATTTTTTCCCTGATAAATAACGAGGTCGAAGGAGGCCGGCGAATTAAAATTTGAGGATGTCTCGAGCGAAACGCTTGTTTTTGAAATCCCGATCGATAAATCACAGGGTGCGGGCCACTTTTTCGTGTGTTGAGGATGTCTCGAGCGAAACGCTTGCTCCGCAGAGTTTGCCGAGGATGTCTCGAGCGAAACGCTTGTTTTGCAGAGCCGACCGCGACGCGGAAAAGCGCCCCGCGCGAAGGAATTTCGATGATGTCTCGACTAATTCGTTTGTTTTTGTACGATTTCCTGGAATTTTGGCAGGATGTCTCGAGCGAAATGCACGACCCCACCCTAGCACGACCATACCCCAGCACGACCACACCCCAGCACGACCAGACCCCAGCACGACCCCACCCCAGCACGACCCCACCCCAGCACGACCATACCCCAGCACGACCACACCCCAGCACGACCCGACCCCAGCACGACCCTACCCCAGCAAGACCACACCCCAGCACGACCACACCCCAGCACGACCACACCCCAGCACGACCCCACCCCAGCACGACCACGCCCCAGCACGACCACGCCCCAGCACGACCACGCCCCAGCACGACCACCCCCCAGCACGACCACACCCCCAGCACGACCACCCCCCAGCACGACCACCCCCCAGCACGACCACACCCCAGCACGACCACTCCCCAGCACGACCACACCCCAGCACGACCACACCCCAGCACGACCACACCCCAGCACGACCACACCCCAGCACGACCCCACCCCAGCACGACCCCACCCCAGCACGACCCCACCCTAGCAAGACCACACCCCAGCACGACCACACCCCAGCACGACCTCACCACAGCACGACCACACCCCAGCACGACCACGCCCCAGCACGACCACGCCCCAGCACGACCACGCCCCAGCACGACCACCCCCCATCAGCACGACCACCCCCCAGCACGACCACCCCCCAGCACGACCACACCCCAGCACGACCACACCCCAGCACGACCACACCCAGCACGACCACACCCCAGCACGACCACACCCCACGACCACGACCCCACCCCAGCACGACCCACCCTAGCAAGACCCCAGCACGACCACACCCCAGCACGACCTCACCACAGCACGACCCCACACCCAGCACGACCACGCCCAGCACGGAAGGCCCCAGCACAACACCCACACCCCCCACAACACCCAGCACGACCACCCCCCAGCACGACCACACCCCAGCACGACCACTCCCCAGCACGACCACACCGCCTTGGTTGAGTGGTTGCCTGTCGTCGTGGAATGTTTCGTGGGGTGTCTCGTGGAATGTTTCGCGGGGTGTCTCGTGGAATGTTTCGTGAGGTGTCTCGCGGAATGTTTCGTGAGGTGTCTCGTGGGATGTTTCGTGAGGTGTCTCGTGGGATGTTTCGTGAGGTGTTGCCCCGTTGGGTATCGTGAAAACGTGCCCATGCTCCACATGTCTATATCCCTTTCCGGGTTCGTGGGTCCATCATGTTTTGTTGTTGTTGTTGTTGTTTCCCCCCCCCCCCCCCCCCCTACCTAGGCTCTGCCAGAAGGGTTCTTACTATTAGGCTTAACGGGCCAGGCAGTGGGGCACGCCCCGGGCGGTTCCCCCAGTATCCGCCCCGCGGTTCCCCCAGTGACGTTCCCTTAGCTTCGCGTTGCTTATCTCATCTTAGCTTAGCTTATTTCATCTTACCTTAGCTTAGCTTCATATTATCTCAGTTTTACCTTAGGTTAGCTTACCTTCATCACAGCTTCGCTGAGTTTTAGCATAGCAGAGCACAGCATAGCATAGCACAGCGTAGCATAGGATAGCGCAGCATCGCATATCATAGCATAGCCCAGCATAGCATAGCATAGCATAGCGCAACATAACATAGCATATCATAGCACAGCTTAGCATAGCATAGCTTAGCATAGCTTAGCATAGCACAGCGCATCATGACATAGCATAGCCCAGCATAGCATAGCATAGCGCAGCATAGCATAGCATAGCATAGCACAGCATAGCATAGCGCAGCATAGCATGGCATAGCATAGCATAGCAGAGCAACTAATGCTGCTTTCCTAGGGGCTCCAACTTCTAGGTAGGGTCGCACTGGGGTAACTATAAAAAAAAACGGCGCGACCATGTCTGGGCCCTCGCCCGCCGCGGCGAGCCGCGCAGAACCTGCCAGCCTGCGCCGAGGCCCCCAGCGGCGCCCGCGAGGGCCGCGGGCCGCTGCCGCAAGGGCGAGCGGCGCTCGCCCTCTGGTTGAGCAGGGACCGACCATCCTGGCACTCCTACAGTCCTACCACGACATGTTCTTAGAACCCCAAACAGTTCTAATAACAAACAATGTTCTTAGAACATAAGCCCTACGTGATAAAAAAAAAAACAAGACAGACTCCGCCAGAAATGCTCCCAGAACACTTCGTGGAAACCACAAAAAGTTCTTAGAACATTGTTTGGTAGGGCTATGGGCGAGCCAGGACGCTTCGCCACTGCTTCATCTGGCGGACGAGGGCAGAGGCCGCCGCTGCCGCGGCGAGCACGCGGGCCGCCCGACGCCACGGGGGCGCGAGGCGGCAGGCGACGGGCGAGGGCGACGGGCGGCGGGCGAGGCCTGTGGATGCCATGACGCATGGGCGAGGCGAGGGCGGCGGGCGAGGCGAGGTCATGGGATCAAACACGAGTTTAAGCTGAAGCACGCTTCACGCACGTGAGGAAAGAAAAACAGGTCCCATACAGGTTCGACCATGTTCAAGGCATCTGCGTGTGAAAACACATGCTCTAGACATGTTCGAGCATGTTGAAGACATCTGTTTGGACGCCCGAAATGGGCACGGAAAAAATGGGTACTGTGCCCAACAACAAATGTTGTCCCAAACCAACAGCGGCCGCTGTTGGGCAGGCGGCCTTCTGTCTCGAATGGACACAGGCCGCGGCGGCGCGGACAGCGAGTCCTGTTCAAAATGAACAGGATCCGCTGTTGGGCATTGCACCCATTCTTGCCGTGCCCATTTCGTTCGTGCAGAATCTGGAGACGACTCGGCCACGTGCTCCCCCCCCAGTGCTCGTTGCCCCCAAAAGCGAGGGCGCAGGGCGAGGGCCGCGCGGCGGGCCACCGAGGCCAGGCGCGGCGCGGGGCGCCGGGGCGGCGCCGCGCGGGGCGGCGCCTCTGCCGCGCCTCTGCCGCGCCTCTGCCGCGCCCGCCGCGGCAGGCCACGCCCGCCGCGACCGCGCGGGGCGCGGGCAGCTTCGCCGCGACCGCGGGCGACGCGCTCGTGCGTGCAGGCGGCGGGCGGCGGCGCCGCCGAAGGCTGCGGGCGCTCCCGCAAAGGCTCCGCGGGGGGCCCTCGCCGGCCTCGGGGTGCCTTCCGGCAGCCGCGCCTCCCCGCGCGGGCGGCGAGCGCATCCGCACCCCACGCCCTCGCGGTCGGGATTCCGGGGCGCGATCCCGCGGCTCAGCGGTCGCGCGGAAGCGCTCTGCGCGGGGCGTCCGCGAAGAAGCGCCGCGCATGCACGGGGCGGTCCGGTGAGGACCGTGTACACGGGGCCAGACTCAGGAGCTACGGAGCCTGACCGGGCCAAGGAGCAAGCCAGGCTGATGCGACCAGGCAGCGTCAAGCACGCACACGGCTCGCGCCCGGAGAGAGAATCTCTTGTCGAGGAGGCCTAGCTCGTTGGCCCAAGCAGCGGACATGGGGCCACGACAGCGCGAGTCGGTGGAAACTCGTGCCCCTGTGGCATCTTGAGCCGATGCTGGCAAGGAGGGGGGTGGAGGAGGTGGGAGGAGGAGGAGGCGGAAAAGGATGATGATGATGCTGATGACGATGATGATGCTGCTGATGATGATGCTGCTGCTGCTGCTGATGATGATGATGATGATGATGGTGAGCCCAGTGCTGTTGCGCCCGCACACCTGGGAGAAATGCACATTGCATGTGGTGGCAAGTAGCAGGATCATGAATGCTCTTCAGCAAGTGCCTTCCACGCCCAGTGTCAGTGGCACAAGCATCGCGAATCTACAAACGAGGCGTGAGGTCAGCAACATCGTGCACAGCTGCGACTTTAAGTGGCCCTTCTGTGCATGGGCTACGTACCACATCCCTCAAAGGAAAGAACGTCGGCTCGATGGGGCTCTTCGTGCCCCAAGTCATGCCGAGACTTGCAACCTTGCGAGATCACCCGAATCTCATTGCTTTCGAGATCCTGCTTTCAATCCTATTTACACGTGATTTCTACATCCTCATAACAAGAACGGGTTTTTGTTAAAACCAGCACATGCTACTTGTCGACAGCAGCATGCAAGCCAGCTCTCTCCACACAAGCGCCGACGATGCAATTCACGCCCTTCGCCTGGTGTTCTTCTGTGCACTTCTCCTGCGACGCGAGCTGGCACGGCTCGCAGGTGCGTCTCAGGGAGTCGCACGAGCTCTGGAACTGTTCCATGGAACTGCGCTCTGGCCCGACTGTTGCAAGTCGCACCCCGCTGAAGGCGGTGCCTGACTCGTCTACACACCAACACCCGTACTTGTGGCACTGCATCGCCTGCCACTCCATCTCCTCGGGGGAAGCCCACAAGCACCCAGACCGCTACTCCCATGGACTTCTACCTGGGTGAGCGATGGCCAACATTCCGAGGCGAATCCAGCCGTGGCGACGAGGGCCTCCCAGGAGGCCCGACAAGGGGCCAACACGAGGGGAAGGTAGCAGTATCTGTACCTTGTTCCTCCCGTGATCCTCGGTGCACCGCGGGTGGAAGACGCCAAGAACGCCTCGTCCCTCAAGCCGCTGAGCCGTCTCCAGGCTCTCCCGGCAAGTCGACCCGCCACCGTCGGCGTGCGCGGGGGCCTCCTCGGGCGGCGCGCTCCCCGCCCCGCAGCTGGCAAGGCAGAGCTCCCGCGTGTCGAAGTCGTTCGCGCTGCCGTGGCACCCGGCCATGGTGTACTCCTCGCACCTCACGAGCGGCGGACACGTCTTCCGAGATCCTGGCGCCTCGTTTTTGTTCGAGCCCCGCGTTCTCGCCCTTCCTCGGGCCCCGGGGCCCTCACAAAGCGATCCGGCCCGAAAGGTGACGCAGAAAACTGGCGTCTAGGGCTCCGGTCGGGATTTCTCGCGATGCTGCAGCTCTTTCGAGGCGTCGGCTCTCAGGGTCCGCAGCTGCGCCCCAGCGGTCTGGGCCCGTGGGCACGGTCGCGCGGATGCGCAGTCGCGCGAGGCGTCCGCGAAACAGCGCTCCGCACCCGAGGGGTCGCGGCCCGGGGGCCCGGCCTGCGAGGCCGCGGATCTGACTTTCGCCCACGGGCACCGTCTCGAGGTCGCGTTGAAATGGTAGCGCCGCATGTGCAGCATGCAGTTGCCGACGCCGCCCGGGGGTAGAGCGCAGGCCTCCCGCATCAAATCCCGAGGCTCCCGGCGGCCGCACAGGCTTGCGGCGGCCGCACAATCCTGAGGAGCCAGGCGCCATCCGGCCGCCTTCCCCTTCGGCGGGTTCGTGCCGCGTCGACGTCGGCGTCAGCCGCTGAAACCGCGTGGATCGTGCAATCCGGAACGATCGCGGTTTGTCCGATAGCGCAGGTCGTTCGATATCGGCTGACTTGAGGCCACGGGCGGCCTTCAGCCTTGAACGCCGGCGCTGGGGTCACCGCCGCATCGACTCGACACTAACTTGTGTGCCACTGGGGGGGGGGTCCAGTTTAGGGGTGGGGGTGTGACGGGGTTCCGGGTATTAAAAGTATGCAGAATTGGAATATATTACTCGTCCTGTATTTTTGCAAGCCCCCCCCAAAAACAAAACCGGACTCCCGGGATCTTGGGCTTTGGGACCCTCCGGACGGGCCTCGAAGCGGCCCCCCGGGCCTCGCAAGGCGTTTTGCCAAGCCTTCCCAGCACACCTAGGGCGATCAGGAGGGTCATCGGAGACGTCCCAGAGACCCCCAAGACAGCACAAGAGCGCTCCAAGAGTGACCGACGTGACCTCAAGATGGCCCAAGAGGCCTCCAGGACGGCCCCAAAGAGGCCTCCAAGAGCACTCCCAAGAAGGCCCCAAGAGGCAACAATCATTTAATTTTCTGTTGTTTTTTGGTGAATTTTGGGGTTCTCCTCTTTTCGGCTTCCCGACGCTCCAAGACGGCGGTCTTCTGGGCGTCCGAAGCCGCCTGGGAGGCTCCGAAATCGAACTTCAAGGACCAAGGTGCATGGCGCGAAGCGCCACTGCAGCTTTGTATGTATATATATATATATATATGTGTATATTTCTATATATATATATATATATACAGTGCTACTTAAACTTTTGTTTGAATGGGGGCGCTGCGGGGAGGCGGGTGTGGGGACCGCTGGTTTGCGTAGGGCTGCCATGCGGAACGGGGGCTCTGCGGGGTGGTTGTTCACGGAACGGTTCCGCAACTGTGGACCTGCGGGTAGGAGGGGCCGTTGCATTGCGGGATGGTGGTGCGCGTGTTGCGCAGGGGGCTGCCATGGGAGTAGCAACCACCACCACCACCACCACCACCACCACCACCACCACCACCGCCGCCACCACCACCACCACCACCACCACCACCACCACCACCACCACCACCACCAGCATGGGCACTATGGACCCCCACGGCCACGAATCCAGGGACAGTGTAAATCTCCTGCACGAACGATGGAGTGCGTAGGCTGACGTGTTTGGGCCCCCCAAGTCCTCTTCAGAGAAGCTGCCGCCTTCGGCGGTCGGGCTCCGCAAGGTCCCAGGCACCTTTCGCCCCGAGGCGCTGCTGCACCAGCAGTAGCCAGTCGAGCCGTGGCACTGCCGCGCTGCGAACGCCCCATCCTCCTTGGGAGGGAAAAACACCAATTTACCCAGACCCCTCTTGGCCAGGCCAGCCCTGGCCTGGCCGAAAAAGGCGTAGGCACCGATCCTGGGCCCAAGCAGATAGACCCGTCCATGGCTGGTGAGGTGTGCACCGTTGGCCCCCCCCCGATTCCTGGCACTGCGGCACATAGCTTCCGATGAGGTGGAGGTCCAGGGCTTTCTGAGCCAGCTCCCGACACGATGATGCCGGCTCCTCCTCTTCCTCATCCTCCTGATCCTCCTCCGCCGCGTCCTCCTCTGCATGCCTGACGGCCGTGCAGTCCTCCTCCGAGACGCTGCCGTCTCGGGTCGGGCTCCGCAGCTGGCGCCCCGAGGCGCTGCTGCACCAGCAGTATCCCGTCGAGCCGTGGCACTGACGAGCGGCGAACGCCCCGTCCTCCTTGGCCGACAGCAAAGCAACCCGAGCCACCTAGTTTTGTGAATCACAGCTCATGACCATGGCAAAAGCCACCCAGTTTTGCGAATCGCAGCCAATGAGCATGGCAAGCCCTCGGTTGCCTCGGACAAGGCTGCACACACACACATCAGCAGGTCCGCCAGCGCCTTTGGGGGGGCCTCCAGTCTCCAGGCGTTTCTGATTGTTCTAGGGCTGCAGCCTCTCTTCCATGCCCCCACCTCCACCAGCGCCACGACACTTCCTTCGGGGGGGGGGGGTCGTTTTGCCTCTGGTGCACGGGGAATGTGGGTGGGGTGGTGGCCCCCCAGGCCCCGCGGCCACTGTGCCAGCGGAAGTGGCCCCAATGCGCGGGGGGGGCTCCAGGTAGATCTCACTTCTACTGGGGCCAGAATGGACATGAAGCCCCAGCGGGGGCCAACCACTCCTCCTGGCCAAAACGGCCCAAGATGGTCGAAGATTACCTCCAAGACGCTTCCCAGATACGGTACAGTGTGCGCTTCCAAGACGGTCAAGTGACGAGCGAAGGTGGCCTCAAGACGGCCCAGAAAGGCACCCAAGACGCCCCAAGAGGGCCCTAAGAGGGTCCCCAAGAGGGCTGTCTTGCCTTTTCTGCCGCGCTGGTCCATAACGCTGATTCCCCCGTTACGACAGCAAAGCAGAACGGCGAGCGCCGCTAACCATCATGACAGAGCCCGTGCAGTCGCGCCCCCCCCAGGACTCCAGGAGGCCCTCAAGAAGCCCCACAACATCCGGACTTTACGCGCTCCGGGCGCGGCTGGACTTCGACGGAGGAGCAGGCCAACTGCCAACTCTTCAGCGTAGCCTCCATGACGAAGTCGTAATGCTTATACTAAAACATTGCAACACGTGTGAATCCATGTGGACAGAATGCCCGTGCGCCGCCTGTCGGCCTTCTGCCAGCCTCCTGCCCCATTGTCCCTTGAGAAGCTTGCAACAAAGGGCTTTAAAATGGCTCAGGATGGCCCCAAGAATGCCAGACGATACCTCCAGGACGGCGAAAACAGGCCGAAAAGAACCCGAGATAATTCCAGGACGGGCCAAGAGGCTCTCGAGACGGCCCGAAAGGATCCCCCAGAGTCCCCCGATAAGCAATTCCTGTTTATATTCCAATCTATTTTGTGGAAAGAACTGCTGGTCAATGAATTACCCCACCCATCCCTTCCAGGCAAGAAATGCGCGTTAGAAGCAAGCTAGCACGCTCAGGCCGAACTTCCTGGCAGCAGCGTTGGAGTGAACTTCCCGGCGAGATCCTTGGCAATGCAAGATGCTCCAGAACGCGAGCTAGCACGCTCGAAATGAGATGCCTGCAGACATCGCTGGTAATTGGATGCGCGGTTCCTGAGAGCCAGCAAGCTTGGCGTGCGCGTCCTGGCAGCAGCGCTGGCATGGGATAGGCGCTGGAAGCCCTGCAACGGGAGGCTGATACTGAAGCGCCTGGCAAATAAAGGATCAACGTTCGCACTGCGACGTGCGCTGAAAAAGAGAAGGCCCGCGCACTCGAACAGTGCTTGCACTTTGGAGTTTTACTTCGTTCTAAGAATCTGGGCCTGCGCGCCGGTGCGGCGGTTAGCCGTCGCCACCCCGTCGGTGCCCGCTGTGTACGCCTGTGCGCAGGTCTGGCGGCTATGTCGTCGCCGTCGCCGCCCCGTCGCCGCGTCACATAGATTGCGCGACGTCGATTTCTCAACAAAGATTGTAGCACATAGATTGCACCACGTCGATTGCTCAAGATAGATTGCTGCACGTACACTGCATTACACATACTCTTTATTTCGGAAAAGGGAATTATCATCACCCCTCTGGGATTATCGCCCCCTGGGGATGTACAGTCTACATCTGATTATATGGCATCGCTCCCTCGCAACATGGACCAATACCATCTCAGTCCAACCGATTTCGGCACCCCCTTCATCCCTTTCAACGTATACGGTGCGCGTGTATCTGCTTGCTAAGAACTACAAATTTTCAAAAATCCCTGGTGACATGTGGGACGAAGTGCAAACGCGCGCGTCGTCGCGCGCATGCTGGAATCTTTCACACAAGCCTTAGGATTTGCACGGCTGTCAAAGCCGAATGTCCCGAGCACGCACTGGACACACATGGTTTGGCAATGTGGTTTTTGAAGCAAATGTCTGCGTGCGCGCACTTGCGAACTCTGAAGCAAACCATCGTTTCCCATCTCGTACTCAAACGCGACCAAACGGGAGCCCCGCGTGCGCATGTCGAAAGGATTCGAACTCCCTTGTGTGTGGGTCGGGGTGTATGGGTTCTGTTGAATGATACCTTGCGGGCCACTCGCACGTGTCGGCCGCGCGCGCATGTCGAACTCTTTCCAAGATCTTCACCACCGACGCGATGACACCGTCATCGCCATCGGCGTGACCAATATCGGCACCGTCATTGGCTTCGCCGTCGTCACCGTCATCTTCGTCACCATCACCGCTACTACCACCATCGTGTCTACCCTTTATGACGTCGCCATGATACCGCGCCCCCCCAAGTTACCGACTCGCATGAAGTGCCCGCTGGGAAGTGCCCAGCGGTCAGCGCCACCGCAGCCTCGTCGGTCCCGCCAAACTAGCTGGCCGCTGTGCGCGCGAGCATGCGTGGGCTAATGCGGCCGCGGAGATGCACCAACCAACATCAAACACTCATCGCAATCGCCGCCGCATGGGTTTTGCAAGCCACATTGCGGGTGGGTGGGTGGAATGGTTGCGTGAGCAGTCGAGTTGCCAACCCCAAGTTTTCAAAACGCAATAGACCTCATCGATTGCACCACCTATGTGGCATCACATAGATTGCTCGACATACGCAGCACAACAAATACTGTTAGACGCACGCTGTGTCGGGTCTACGCTGGCGAACCTGTGTATACACATGCATCTACACATATAATTTGTATGTCTAGAGTCTAGATATCTCTCTCTATACATAGTATGTATTTCCATTTATCCGACACCATCACATCCGACCCCTCCACCCCGGTAAATCCGCAGTGGCCGGGCCACGCCCCCGCCCCCCCCTCCCCACCGAGCACCATGAAGACCCCCAAAAACAATTCAGAAATCTCTCCGTTCCCTCTGCCCAGTGCCCTGGGCAGGCCTCTTAGACCATCTTGTACCCCCAGAGAACCCCAAATGGCCGCAGAATGTCTCCAAGACGGCCCACCGGGTACCCACAACCGCGTGAGGTGGCCTCAAGATGGCCCAAGGGGACCCCATGAGGCCTCCAAGACGGCCAACGATGCCTCCAAGAGGTCTTCCAGGAAGGCCCCAGGGAGCCAACATGAAGTGTTGCCTTGTGGCATTCTGGAAATTATGGCGTTTCCCTCTTCCCCGCCTCCAGACCGCTCAAAAGCTGCGCCTGCGGCCCCAAGATCGCCCAAGAGGGCTTCCAAGATGGCTCCAGAACGACCCGGGAGGCATCCAAGACGCCCCAAGATGGCCTCCGAGACGGCCACGAAGCGCCCCAAGGGGGGCCCAAAGTCGGTACAGAAAGGACCTCGGGACGTGTTCCGACGCCGTCAGACGGGCCAGGGACGCGCAAGGCAGCCAACGAGCATCCCCAAGAAACTCCCAAGGGACCACACGAGGCCCACGGAGGCCACCAAGACGACTGCAAGAGGCCCCCAGCAAGCTCGTAGAAGGTCCCAGGAGTTCCCCAAGAATCTCCCAAGAGGTCTCCTCCTCCTCCTCCTCCTCCTCCTCCTCCTCCTCCTCTTCCTCCTCCTCCTCCTCCTCCTCCTACTCCTCTCCCTTCAGGTTTTCGGATTTCAGAGCGTCCAATGGTCCAAGACGGCACACGATGCTTTGGACGAACAATAAAAGAGACCCCCAAACAATTCAAAACGACTCAACACGAATAATCGGAAAATCGTCCCCCTACTGTTTTTTTGTGCTATTATTCCCGGAAAGGGCATGAGCCCAGGGTTCTCTTTGTACTAGGTAAACCTGTCCCCCGGTGCCTGCTTGAAGGAGGCCGGCGAATTTTTTCCCTGATAAATAACGAGCCGGCGAATTGCCGGCGAATTTTTTCCCTGGTAAATAACGAGCCGGCGAATTGCCGGCGAATTTTTTCCATGATAAATAACGAGCCGGCGAATTAAAATTTGTACATTTCCTGGAATTTTGGCAGGATGTCTCGAGCGAAATGCTACGACCCCACCCTAGCACGACCATACCCCAGCACGACCACACCCCAGCACGACCAGACCCCAGCACGACCCCACCCACACGACCCCCAACCCCAGCACGACCACTCCCCAGCACGACCACACCCCAGCACGACCGACCCCAGCACGACCACCCCACAAGACCACACCCCAGCACGACCACACCCCATCACGACCTCACCACAGCACGACCACACCCCAGACGACCACGCCCCAGCACGAAACCAACGCCCCAGCACGAACCACGCCCCAGCACACCCACCCCCCAGCACTACCCACCCCCCAGCACGACCACCCCCCGAGCACGACCCACCCCCCCACCACCCCACAGCACGACGCACCCTCGCAGCACGACCACGTCCCCATCACGGAAAAAAATACCACCCCCAGCACGACCACACCCCAGCACGACCACACCCCAGCACGACCACACCCCAGCACGACCACACCCCATCACGACCCGATCGATAAATCACAGGGTGCGGAGCACCCCAGCACGAACCCACCCCAGCACGACCCCACCCCAGCACGACCCCACCCCAGCACGACCACGCCCCAGCATGACCACACCCCAGCACGACCACCCCCCAGCACGACCACTCCCCAGCACGACCCCACCCCAGCACGACCCCACCCTAGCACGACCACACCCCAGCACGACCACACCCCAGCACGACCCCACCCCAGCACGAACACACCCCAGCACGACCCCACCCCAGCAAGAACACACCCCAGCACGACCGCACCCCAGCACGACCTTACCAACAAAACAGCACGACCACCCCAGCAC